GATTCGAAGAATCCCTTAAAAGAGACGAGTAATCTGGGCCTGTTACCTAAATTTCGTTAAGGAAACTTCCAGCATTGGTTAGTCAGGGGCAGTGTTCCGAAGTCCATAACACTGGGGAAAATTATCCATGATGGCATAGATCTCAAAAATCCCTCTCGAGACTAATCTTTTCAAAGGTTAATCAATTTGAAGCAGTTACGTCGAGATTCGACAAATCTCTACATGTGTCCGAGAATTATTCAAAGCTTGCGTGGTCGGGTTGGTAGACAAAGTTGTCATGCTACACCTGGGGCATTTTGTGATTATTTTTTTGCAGGAACAATATTTCACTCATTGCAAAGCAACATACCACCAAGAAAGTACAAAGCCAGTGAGAATGTTACCAGCGTGAAGTTCGTGATAGGACGATATCGTTTCCTAAAAAGAATATTGTTCCCTAGTATGGTCAACATTTTTTTTAGTAGAAGCTTGCTTATCGAGGGTGTTTGAAGCAGATTGCTCTCCCTAGTGAAGTGTATAAGAGCCCGTTTCTCCTTAGTGGAGTCTAAGTTTGAGCTGTCTTCACTTTGATGCCATTCAAGAAACGGTCCCTGATAGGAATTACTCCCTAGGGAAGTCTCTCTAATCCAATTTCTCCTACTCCCAAGGGAAGTGCGTGTTAGTGGGTTCGGTACAGTGGTTTACCTCCCTAGTGTGACTAGCATTTTTAAGAGTTCTCTTAAGAATTCTCATATCCCCAGGAAGTTCTCTCGATTCACCCCCGTGAAGTAGATCCACGTGAAGTAGCTTATGTGTCCATAATGAATTATGCATAAATTCCTTATTCCCCATGAAGTCTATACCTGTCTGGCTTTCAGGAGCTTGATTTTCCCCAGTGATGTGGGTTAATACCTTATGAGGCTTGCTTCTCCAGCACAATCTACATAGATGAGTCTTCTTATGAGAATTCTCTTATTCCCCAGTGATTGAAGATTTTGCATTCATCCCCTGGTGGAAGTCAAAGTTTGAGAGTACTTTTTGGTCAAGAAGTCTTTTCTCGCCGAATCAAGATTTACTCCTCAATGAAGTTTTCTTCTCCTCATCAGATCTTCATACAGTGAATGATTTGGTAAAGCCTAATAGAGATTTATAAAGCCCCTCTGAATGTTCATGAGGGTGAGCTTATTGGTGAGTGACCATTCACAAAGCATAAGTTTTTTCTAGCAAAGAAGGTTTCTTCAGTCCTATAGTCAAGTCGTGTTAGAAGTTCTTTCTCCCTGGTAGGGTCCTTCTTTGTGAGATTTCTTCTCCTTCCCCGGTGGAGTTTTTGTATTCGGATGGGCAAAAGCGTATGGATGTCTTTGTTATGAAACTTTCCAGTTCCCCAGCGAAGAAGTTGACAGTTTACTCTCTGCAAATCCAATGGTTATTGGTACTCCCGACAGTTCTTAATCCCCAGTGGAGTCCTTGTTCAGAGTGTGCATTGTTTTCGTTTCTCCACAATAAAAGTTGGCAATTTATTTTTGCAAGCTTTATAAGAATACGGTATGTGGTTACTGGTTATTCAATTTGTTACTCTCCAGTGATCATTTAAACATGCATCATTACATTGTATCCACCCAAATATGTAGTGTCTCCATTTATGTTGGAACATTACTCCATAGAAAAAAATTTAAACATGCATTGAATTATAAGCTAATCGCGTCATCTTGTTCCCCAGTGATTTTTCCTGATATACCCGGTGATTTCTTAAACCCAGTAAATATACCGTAATGTCCCCACAGATCGCCACGGTGTTTACCGCTTTCATGTCTGTCATGTCTTCTCAGTTATTACCCGCATTTGCTTATTGAAGTTATAGTGCGAGAAAGAGTCGGTGTACAACCTTTCTTTCTTTTCAATTATTTGAAAAACCTTACTTGGTGTTCAACAGTTCATATAATTGCCACTATTGAAGAGTTACACCATGCTTTTGTCCTGAGGGACAATGTAGTCCTTTTTCTTGAAAATACTCTATGTAAGTTGGTCCCATTCGCGCTTCTCGCATAACGAATGTTCCTGCCCCGTGCAGGTCCTCGTGGTTCATGTCCAATCGTTATTCGCATGCCATTCGAGTCCAGTTTTTTCTGACACTTCTTTCCTAGGTCTAGACATCTCTAATCCTCGTGTGGTGAGTGTTTACTATTATTCCTTTTTTCCTTGTCTCATGTCACTATGTCTCCTCCGTGAAGTGTTCACTCTTTGTGTTGTTGCGATTCAGTTCCTTCCTGGCATAACATTTTCGATCTGATGGTCATCAGTACTCTTCAAACTCAAGTGGTTACCTATCACCTATCTCGGTCCTAATAGTCATTGGTATCTCAAAAAAATACAAACGCATATTGAAGTATAAGTCGATGGTGTTTCCTTCATGCCTAGTGAATTCATGCAGTTTACTAATATTACTCGGAGGCTAGTGGTTACTAGTTCCTCTTAGGTCGAGTGGTTACTCGCTTTCTTGGTTGCGATCCAGTTCTTCCCTGGCGCAAAGTTTCTTAAATCTGGTGGTTACTAGTATTTTGGTCTAGTGGTTACTAGTCCTTCCCCAATATCTTAGAGCCTAGTGGTTACTAGTCTTCTTAGATCGAGTGTTTACCCGTTTGCCTTATTGGTCATCCAGTTCTTCCCTGGTGCAACATTTTTTAGGTTTTATGGTTATCAGTTCCTATCAAGGTCAAGTCCGATACTTGTCACCTGATTTTGAATGTAGCGTTCTAGTATTCGTTAGTATCTAGTGGTTACTAGGTGCTCTAGATTCAAGTGGTTACTTGTCTCTCTATATCTTTAATTCCTTGGTCAGTTTCAATGGTTACCGATTCTCCCGGATTTAAGGCTATCAGATGTTCGCCTTGTTTTGGATCCAATGGTTATTGGTATCCTATTGAGTACTCTTGGGTCTAGTGGTTACTAGTTCTTGTTAAGTTGTGTGGTTACTCTTTTCTTAGTTTATGATCTAATTCTTGCCTGGCACATTTCCTATAGTACTCTTAAGGTCGAGTTCTTACTCGTTACCTTCACTCGAACCCCATTGTTTGGTTAAATGTTCTAATGGTTTTGGTTCATAAAGGCATTGTTCCAGTTGGTCAAGACCAGTTGATATTGGTATTCTTTTTTAGATCCAATGTTCATTGGTATCTTCTCGATTCTACTGGTTCCTAGTCTTCTTAAATCGAGTTCAATGGTTATTGACCTCGTTTTCTATGTCTAGTGGTTACTAGTTATCTTCGGTTGAGTTTAGTGTTTACTATCCTTCTTCATTTGGAAATCTATTTCTTTCGTTTTTTTGTCAAAAGCAGCTACCAAAAGAAGTACCCAGTGTTGATACACTTTGTCTCAATTAAGAGCGCAAATTTTTTAGTTCATTTTTGTATTCAATCCCTTTTTACCTTGTCGCTTGAAAGGTTGATGCTAATCTCGCTCCAAATTCAAGAAGATTGAATAGGGGAAGTTGTTTTACCCCAAAATTTTACCCTCTTCATTTAGACACTATTTGGCTTATATTTCATTATCATGTGCATGCATATCATTGGTTTTACGTTTATGGGATCAAGGTATTTCTTTCAAGCTTCACCAAGTTATGAAAGACATTTATTTTGTCGGTTGACATGCTCCAAACACTCTCCGGGCTATTTATCAGTGAGTATCAAATTATCTTCATGCCAAGTTCGTGTGTTCTCTAGCACGCCTTGAACGGCATAGAAAATCAAGTGTTTCGATGAATTTGGGACAATGTGAACCAAAGACAGTGTTTTGTTGGTCCGAGCTCAGAAATTTGCAAACCCGCAATCAGGATACTGTTTCAAGTTGATTCCTCATGCATTAGATCTGTCTCGGTATTTTTTTCATTTCATATGTTCAAGCTAGAAGCCAATTATGTGCAGAAGGACTCCAAATAATTTGATTTCCCTGAAGTGGTACTTGAATTTAATGACTGGTTATCTGTTTCCCAAGCGGTTGGAAATTCGTAACTTTAATCCAATTCTGTATTTTCAGTTGATTCTTTGAGCATTGAGAGCGTCATGATTTTATTATCATTTCTCGTTTTCGGATTGAAGGTTAATTTCGTGAGGAAGACCTCTGGGAATTTTAATTTTTTGAAGACAGTGTACTGAATTTAATTGATGGTCCGTTGTTACGCGAGCACTTAAGAATTCATAACTTCTGTTTGGAATACTGTTTCAGAACGGTTCTTGAGGCTTTAAAACCATCTTAAGGTATTCTCCATTTCGTATGTTCGGCTTGAAAGCCAATTCTTTAAGGAAGATCTACGAATGCGCAAGTACTTTAAAGAGAAACAGTGGGAAAATAGTGAAAACACTGTGCTGAACTGTCATTTTTCGGACGTTCAAAAATTCATAACTTTTGCTTGGTGCATTGTTTTTGAGGCGTTCTGTTGGATAAAAATCTGTCTTGATGCCATCCTCATTTTTTACGTTCGGGTCGAGGATCAATTCATTGAGGAAAGCCCCCGGAATTATGGATTACCAGAGAAATAATTGTGGTGAACATGATTTCTGATGCACCATTTCTCGATATTGTAAAATTTGTATCTTCTTATATTTTTATGGTATCACAACGTTTCTTTTGGAATAATTTCACAAATTTTGTTAGCTACAAATTCTCTTCATACCCCGAGTTAGGATTTTAATCAGAGGATTGTCGTTCATGGTATTCTTTCATAATTGAACGATGAAAAAAATCTGAAAACGAAATAAGTTTGTTTGAGACAGCGTTAGTGCATCTTCAAAAATTAAAAAATTTCTCTTTGTTTATATGATTGAGTCTGTTCTTTCGGCATTGCATAACAAATTTCGTAATATTTATTTTTGATGTTGAGCTCAAGTCGAGATTTCACACCGGTGATGACATGACATTTTGCATTCATATTGGACATTAAATAAGCTGACACAGTCAAAATGAGGCCCAATCCAATTTCACATTCAAAGCCGAATTTCCCACACTATATATTCTAAAAATCAGAATTTTTCCTAAGAATACACATACTCCCACAAACAACAAAAACTATCTCTCTCTCTCTTCTCTCAAGATTAAAGAGTTTTTCTTCATCAACTTCATCCAAAACCTCAAGAACACATAACAATAATCAACAATTTCTTCAAGATCCAAACTCAAGAAACTTCATCGATCTCTACTCCCTCCCTCTGCGGTTTGCCTTCGTGCATTGCTTGATACTGTCGGCCCGCTACTGGAGCCTCACCACTGCTGTGGTCCACTACTTCTCCCTCTGGAACCACCGGAAATCCGACTCCTCTGCTTCTCCGTTCGCGTCGATCTCCACGGCCAGCACCACTTCTCTTCCGATTCGTTCTTCGATTCGATAAATTCTTCATACTTTTTATAGAATTCTTGAGTTGAATATCATTGATTATGTTCATGAATTTATGTGATTTGAATTAGATTGAAGTCTTGAGGTTTAATTGAATATTTGCTTGAAGTTTAAGTGTTTGTTTAAATGCTTGAGGGATAATTTTTTATTAAATTTGAATTTTGAAAAGTTGTTTGTTGTTGTAATTATGAAGAGGTGTGGAATAGGTTGAAGCTTAAATTGAATTTGAGTTAATCTTGAAGTGAATATTTCTTGAAGCTTAGGTGTTTATTTAAATGCTTGAGACATGTTTGTGTGATATGATTGATTTCTTGAGATATTTGTATTTGTTGCTTTCTTGAATTGGTTAATTTTTGAATTGTTGAGTTTTGTTTCACGAGATGTTGAATTGTTGAAATTGTTGATTGTTTGAATTTTTTAATTCTTGAGTCGATTAAAAATACACAATTATTTAGAACATGGAGGTGGTGTTCACCATTGTTTTTTTAAGCATAATTTGGTAATAAAACTTGATTTTAATTGAGTTTTGGTGCATATTTTTGTTAGAATTTGTTTAGGTGCTCATTCTTGTTTAATTAGAATTTAGCGCAACATTATGAGTTTCTGTTAGTTGACACCAATTGTGGGATAATTCAATTCTTTTCCACACATAAAACTTTAATTTGGTGATAATCACATCAACACATAATTGTTGATTTTTTGTCCGGTTTCAAAGCAACTTTTGCATTCTCTTGTCTACAACTTGTGCATGATTTTTAAGTGTTAATACTTGATCCGTTGAGCATATTTGATTACCTTGCTCTCATGTTTAATTTTAATTTCGGGTGAAACCCACAAAAATACATACGGCTGCCCGGTTTTGAAAGTAACACCTCCACTTGGAATTAATTCAATGGAACTACTTTTTTGAATCCGTTGATACGTTCAGAGGCAACCGTGTAATTTTAATGCGATTCTGCTCTGATGATTTTTGTGCCTTATTTTTTAATATAACGCGTCTTAGCCACAAATAACTCGAACTTTGAGTTTTTACTTTCATTTGATGCATGTTTATGCTTTAACATTCTTTTGGGAATAATTATGATCGAGTTTACTCGCTTCTGTTACAATTTTCGGCTCGATTCATGTTTTAATTGTGTGGCTGCCCGAATTTCACTCTTATGCTTCCAATGTCCATTTGTTTCCCATTTTCTCATGATTTAGCCTGATTTTGAATTTTGATAGTAATGTTTTCTTCCAATAGCGCTTCTTTGTTATTTCTAACGCATTTGTTAACTTGTGCAAGGTACTTTGAGATAGTTTTTGATCATGTAATTACCGTTTGGTTATGTGATCGAAAAACATGCTTGTGCCACTAATTTATGGTGCAAACTTGCATTTGATACACGTGACATATTCTCATCTCTTTGAGATTGTATTTCATATTACTTGCATGAATTTTACTTTTTTCATGTACTCTATTATTATATGGATGTGTTCGATACACATTTTGTGTATTCTTGTTTTTCTTATTACTTGCATGAAGTTTGTTTTTGTGCAGGTACTCTATTTTGTTATACGGATGTGTCCGACACACGTTTTGTGTTAAATTGTATTTTATATCGCTTGTAAGGATTGTTATCTTGTGCATGTATACTTTTTAGTACTTGGATGTGTTCGATACACATTCCGTGTTGTGATTTATTTTCACATCACCGTTTTGAGGCATATTCTGCATGTCGGATCTCTGATTATTTTGTTATTGATGCCAGCTTCTCGCAAAGTATTTCAGGTTTCTTTGGATACTTCTTAGCATATACAAATTGATATTTGTTTGGTATTCTATCATGCCTTTTTATCTCACGTTCTTTACGGATTTTCTAGATACCATGAGAAGTAGGAAATAATGATCATGTTCTTGAAATCATTGTTTAATGACCTGTAGCAAGCATTATGCAATTATTTAATACTTGTATTTGTCTTATATGTTTACATTTGCCAAAGACCTCAAAAAGAGGCACCCTGTTCCCATTTCCCATGATAAGTCCTCAAAGAAGGCACACCAAGAAGGGTTCGCAATCAACCCCGCCATTTTCTAGTCCACAGGTCATCCTTAGCTGGCGTCATACGTGACGCTTTGGAGTGTGCTTACTCTTGTATCGAGACGGTAAATCGAAAAAGGGTTTTGCAACCAAACCCCTAAACTTTTTCTTGAGCTAACGTTGGTCAACGTTGGTGCTCTGTGCTTGCTAACATTGTCTTCTACCGCCTACCTAGATGACATGATATCTTGGTTAGGTGTTTAGTCTCTTTGAGCATGCACTTTCCCCTTTCTATACTTCCTTCCTCGGTAACATGATATCTTGGTTAAGAGTAGCTTTCATGACCATGTATTACCTAGATGACATGATATTTATGGTGAGGAACATCCCCCATCTTACCTTGATGACTTGATATCATGGTTAGGTGTCCCATTTCCCTTTGTCCTACCTGATGACATGATATCATGGTTATGAATCCTTCTTCCTTTCCTACCTTGGTGACATGATACCTTGGTTAGGTGTGTGCTACTTGAGTGAGTGGATACTCCTCAAGCATTTGTTTGCTTTCTATTATGTGACTTGTTTGCTTTGTGTGATCACAAGCTCCCGTAGGATTTCTCGATCTAACTTCGGAAGTGGATTGAGATAGACCCTAGGATATTTATCCATGTATGCCAACATTAGGTAGGTTATTTCCCTCCTTATCCTGACCTTAGGGCCATATTTTCATGACAACATTAGGTGTAGAACTAGATAGTTTCCATTAGTTGTTTTCTTTTGCATATTAAGACTAAAACTCTTTTCCTTCTTCAAATTCATAAAACACTTAAACAAAACTTAAATCATTTTTCAAGGTAAAAGTAATCCACCAATTCAAACCAATTTGTCTTTGGACCTTTTTCTTTTGAAAACCTTTTCGATAAGGGTATGTTGTTTCAAATTCAAACGATTTGCTAAGTGTGCGAGTGGCCGAGCATGAGTCTTTGATAAGCTTCAACGCCAATCACGAATTGCAATCCTAATCACAAGGATGTGAAACGATATTACTCATAAAAAACATGCAACCAACAGAAAATTGTTAGGGGAACTACGAGTGCCTTGATCCCCATTGCACGACCGGTGGTACGTAGGCATAAAGGTCCACAATTGCGGCAGGCACAACTATTAAAACCTTTTTTTTTGTAAATTATTCTTTGCATTCATGCATTCCCTGTACAACCTAGCTATATATTTCAGACACACCCTTTAGATTAGACAACAAAAATGGATACCGTAGAGTACTACGAGCGTGAGGGGTGCTAATACCTTCCCCTCGCGTAACATACTTCCTTACCCGATCCTCCGGTCGCAAGACCGTGATTTCTCCCTTCAGGTTTACTCAATGTTTACCTTTCCCTTCGGCAGGATAAAAAACATTTGATGGCGAATTCATTGTTTATTTCGATGATTTGTCCGGTTGCCTCAACTGTAAACTACCTACTCAACATTTAAAGGTAGAATCTTCATTGATAATATCAGATTTCTCCATGCTTCGGGCAATAAGCCACGAACAAGTCTTGGTTCTGGTGATAAACTTCCTGACGCTTTGGGTGATAAGCCACGAACAGTTATTGGTTCTGCTGATAAACTTCCCCACGCTTTAGGCGATAAGCCACAAATGGGTCTTGGTTCCGATGATAAAATTTCTCACGCTTCGGGCGATAAGCCATGAATGGGTCTCGGTTCTGGTGATAAAACTCCCCACACTTTAGGCGATAAGCCACAAACGAGTCTTGGTATTTGTGATAAATTTCCCCATGCTTCGGAAGATAATCCACGAGCGGGTCTTGGTTCTTGTGATAAACTTCCCCACGCTTCGGGCGATAAGCCATGAACGGGTCTTGGTTCTAGTGATAAACTTCCCCATGCTTTGGTGATAAGCCACAAACGGGTCTTGGTTCTGGTGATAAACTTCCCCACACTTCGGGCGATAAGCCACGAACGGGTATTGGTTCCTTCTTTAACCAAGTCTTCCACCTAGAAAGGGTAAATGTTTGATATAATTTTCAACGGGAATTAACAAACTACTCAAAAGAGACTGTCATCTTTCATCAAAAGGGAATTCAGGGACATATAAGCTTCTCAAATAAAGAGACCACCACTTGTTGTCGAGAATAATATTACAATAACACAGTTGGGAAATGAATTTTGACTCCCTAGGGAAATATAAACATATTCCTGCTGAAGAGATAAGGTATTCTCGTGCGAAATAAATACATTCTCAATCCAAGGCTTAATGTATATCAAAGGATGTGAACACTGTCTATCAAAGTTTTGATAGTCTAACAACGGTAACCACCAAAAGTTTATGGACAAACCATTCTTCAAAACAAGACAACAACTGCTGACAAGATCTAGAGCTTAATCTAGGAACAAACTAGAAATAAATGGTCAAATAAGACTCTACCAAATGAAGAACAAGTTCAAATGGGGATTAATTCCATCTAGGTAATGAGCTAGGTGGGAAGGTTGAAGAAAAATTCTTCCACTAGGAATAAACTCAGTTGGGAAATAGAAAGGATATAAAATTTCTGCTTAAGATTGACATTCTATTGGATAAAGGATACATACTCTACAAAGAGGATAAGACATCAAAAAAAACATCAATAAAGGCAAATGAGAAATGAATTCTTATTCATCTATGCATGATATATGTATGAATGGATGAATGTATGTCATATATATGCTGACAAAACAATTGTACTATACTGGGGAAACCAGACAAAATAAACATGGGTAAAGACAACACTCGGCTGAATCACATCCAAGAGGGAAATCCCATAGGAGAGTAAGAAACCAAATGAGGAAACAACATCCTACTTTTAAGGCTTAACTTCTCTGGGAAATAACAGACGGACATTTCTAGGGAAGATGATACCAGATATGATGAGAAGAAACCATACGACATAGTGGTTGCACAAACTCCTTTGGGGAAGATTAAAGAGACTTCATGGGAGTAACAAGACTCAAGGGAAACATAATCCTTGTTTTACATGAGAAAATAAGAAGTTAACATCACAACAAGAAGACAAGCTTATGGGTATTGTAAATCAAACTCAACACAAGGTGAGAAAAAACCCAATAGTTGACAGTTGTCTCAACACTTCTTAGAAAAGCTACTGCTTTTGATCCGCTACTTGGGGAGCACACAGAAATAACAGTGTCATAACAGGAAATGGTAAAAAATATCTTGCTTGATCACAACCTAGATGGGAACAGAATCACACTCAATTGGAGAAATATGAACCAAGACTTAACTGGGGAATATGGGATTACAAACCCAACACCACACAACAATTTCAGGAAACTACCCACGTGATTGAAAACTGTAGGGGAAACCATGCGCACATTTGTGAGAGAAACCAGAGGAGGCTCCTTGAAGAAAGTTTGTCCATCCTTGGAACGAATTCTTTTATTCCTTTAATTCACAAAATCAAAGTAAAAGTATCTTTTTTTCAAAAACATGTTTTTATTATTGAAGTCTTTTTGTTTTGAAATTTACTATCAATAATAAATTAAATTTTTGCATGCAGAATACAGACATGAATTGAAAATAATTGGATAAAGGCTCAAACCTTTATTAATAGAATAGTAGTTCGTAAATGAAGTGACTCCGTTGATGATTACAAAGTTTAGAAAATGGTAATACATAGAAAAGACACATTTAAATACAATGACCACTATTCTCCCTAATAACTTTGAATTCATGTGCTTAAGCTTCAGTTGAAGAGTGAAGAGAATCCAAGAAAGATTGTTGTTGCGACGATCAAGTCTTGTCTGATGCAGTTACTTGCCTAGCATCCCTAAATTTTTCCTAGATTTCCCTTGCAAGTTTTCAATCTACCAGGATGATTTATTCCGTTTATGTCTCTACCTTTTTCCTAGATCGCCCTTTCAGGCTTTTGGCCCACCAAGACACTCATTTTTTCTTAAGCTGCCATTTCGAGTTTCCAATTAGTGAGCTATTCTTTTATTTATTTTAGGCGAAGTATTTCTTGATTGCATTGGCATTCATGACTCCTCACCATCCATAGTTTCAAGAATCAATGTACCGCCAGAGAAGGCTTTCTTGACAACATATGGGCCTTCATAATTAGGAGTCCACTTGACCTTAGAATCAACGTTAAAAGACATGATCTTTCTAAGCACGAGGTCGCCTTCCCTGAATTGACGAGGTATAACCTTCTTATCAAAAGCTTTCTTCATCCTCTTCTGATATAACTGACCATGACACAAGGCAGTCACTCTCTTTTCTTCAATAAAATTCTGCTGGTAAAATGTATTTTGAACCCATTCATCCTCTTACAATTTGGTTTCCATTATTACACACAAAGATGGGATCTCAACCTCGACAGGGAGCACTGCTTCCATGCCATAAACAAGAGAGAACGAAGTTACTCTTGTTGAAGTGCAGACGGATGTATGATACACATGCAAAAAAAATGGAGCATCTCATGCCAATCCTTGTATGTAACAACCATCTTTTGAATGATCTTCTTAATATTCTTATTAGCAGCATCAACATCCTCATTCATCTTAGGCCTGTAAGCATAAGAGTTATGATGAGAAATCTTGAATTCTTCATAAAGCTCTTTCATCATTTTGTTATTCAAATTTGAGCTGTTATCAGTGATAATTCTGCTTGACACACTATTGTACCCCAAACTTTTCCCTCTCTTTTCTCAAGACAGTTCTCATAAAAAGATCTCAAATGCTCAAGGGTTCTCAAGAGTTGATCAGACAAGCTCACCTCCTAACCATTGGGTCCAAATTAGGGTTTTGTTTTTCTCAAGGACAATTGGACTTTTGATGCCTCAAATGACTTTCATGATTCATTATAGGTCTCCAAAACTGCTCATACCAAGTTTCAAGTTTTGCACCACAAATTTGCGCAGTCAATTGCTCAGATGACTGAAAATCAACTGTATTGGGTAAAAAGTCAACTATGGTCAACATACAGTCAAACTTCATAATTTTTGGTCCCCATCAATATTTTGAAGTCATATTCATCAATTGATCAAGTGTTGATCATAATTCCTCAAGAAAAACACCAGTGATATTGAGCTCGAGTCGAGATTCCTCACCAGTGATGACGTGGCATTTTGTACTCATATTGGGCATTAAATAAGCTGACACAGTCAAAATGAGGCCCAATCCAATTTCACATCCAAAGCCCAATTTTCCCACACTATATATTCTAAAAATAATTTTTCCTAAGAATACACATACTCTCACAAACACAAAACTCTCTCTCTCTCTCTCTATATATATATATATATATATATATATATATATATATATATATATATATATATATATATATATATATATATATATATTCTCTTAAGATCAAAGAGTTTTTCTTCATCATCTTCATCCAAAACCTCAAGAACAAGAACACATAACAATATTCAACAATTTCTTCAAGATCCAAACTCAAGAAACTTCATCGGTCTCTACTCCCTCCCTCTACGGTTCGTCTCCATGCGCCGATTGACACCACCGGTCCGCCACCAAAGCCTCACCACCGCTGCAGTCCACCATTTCTCCCATCGAAACCACCGGAAATCTGACTCCTCTGCTTCTCCGTTCGCGTCGATCCCTGCGTCCAGCACCACCTCTCTTCGGATTCGTTCTTCAATTCAGTAAATTCTCCATACTTTTACTTTAATTATTGAATTGAATAGCATTGTTGATGTTCATGAATTGATGTGATTTAAATTAGATTGAAGTCTTGAAGTTTAATTGAATAATTGTTTAAAGTTTAAGTGTTTGTTTAAATGCTTGAGAGATAATTTTGATTGAATTTGAATTTTGAGAAGTTGTTTGTTGTTGTAATCATAAAGAGGTATGGAATAGGTTGAAGCTTAAGTTGAATTTGAGTTAATCTTGAAGTGAATATTTCTTGAAGCTTAGGTGTTTGTTTAAATGCTTGAGACATAGTTGTGTAAATTGAATTGATTTCTTGAGATATTTGGATTTGTTGCTTTCTTGAATTGGTTAATTTTTGAATTGTTGAGTTTTGTTTCACAAGATGTTGAATTTTTGAAATTGTTGATTGTTTGAATTGTTTAATTCTTGAGTCGATTAAGAATGCACAATTATTGAGAAATTGGAGGTGGTGTTCTCCATTGTTTTTTTAGCATAATTTGGGAATAAAACTTGATTTTGATTGAGTTTTGGTGCATATTTTTGTTAGAATTTGTTTAGGTGCACATTCTTGTTTAGTTAGAATTTAGCACAATATTATGAGTTGATGTTGGTTGACACCAATTGTCGGATAATTAAAATCTTTTCGACATATAAAACTTCAATTTGGTGATAATTACATCAACACATAATTGTTGATTTTTTGCCTAGTATCAAAGCAACTTTTGCATTCTCTTGTCTACAACTTGTGCATGATTTTTAAGTGTTAATACTTGATCCATTGAGCATATTTGATTACCTTTATCTCATGTGTAAGTTTAATTCCGGGTGAAACGCAAAAAATACACACGGCTGCCTGATTTTGAAAGTAACACCTCCACTTGGAATTAATTCATGGGAACCACTTTTTTTGAATCCGTTGATACGTTTGGAGGCAACCATGTAATTTTCCCGCGATTCCGTTCCGATGATTTCCGCGCCTAATTTTTCGAATATAACGCTTCTTAGCCATAAATAACTCAAACTTTGAGTTTTTACTTTCATTTGATGCATGTTTATGCTTTAAAATTCGTTTGGGAATAATTGTGATCGAGTTTACTCGCTTCCGTTACATTTTTCGGCTCTGTTCATGTTTTAACCTTGTGAGTGCCCATATTTCACTCTTATGCTTGCAATGTGCATTTGTTTCCCATTTTCTCATGATTTAGCCTTGTTTTGAATTGTGATAGTAATATTTGTCTCCGATAGCGCTTCCTTGTTAATTCTAACGTATTTGTCAACTTGTGCAAGTTACTTAGAGATAATTTTTTATCATGTAATTACCGCTTGATTATGTGATCGAAAAACATGCTTGTGCCACTAATTTGTGGTGCGCACTTGCGTCTGATACCTGTGACGTATTCTCATCTCTTTGAGATTGTATTTCATATTACTTGCATGAATTGTATTTTGTGCAAGTACTCTGTTATTATACATGTGTCTGATACACATTCCGTGTAATCTTGTTTTTCATATTACTTGCATGAATTGTGTTTTTGTGCAGGTACTCTATTTTGTTATACGGATGTGACTAACATAGGTTCTGTGTTACATTGTATTTCATATCGCTTGTCTGGATTGTTATCTTGTTCAAGTGTATTGTTTAGTACTCGAATGTGTTCGTTACACATTGTGTTGTGATTTATTTTCACATCACCGCTTTGAGGCATATTCCGCACTCAGGACCTCTAATTCTTTTGTTATTGATGCAAGCTGCTCGTGAAGTATTCTGGGTTTCTTTTGCTACTGCTTAGCGTATATGGATTGATATCCGTTTGGTATTCTATCATTCCTTTTTACCTCACATTCTTTACCGCTTTTATAGGTACCATGAGAAGTAGGAAATAAAGAGTGTGCGCTTGAAGTTGTTGTTTAAAAACCTGTGGCAGGCATTCTGCACTTGTTTGATATTATTGAACCCCAAAATTTAACCTGTTAATTTAGGCTTATGTTTCATCATAATCATCATACTGCATTGCATTCATGCATTGTAATGGGATCAAGGATTATTTTAGTTCTCAAAGCTGTGAATTTGGTTGTAATGACAATCAGTCCAAGATGGATCTCATATCGTCATTCTTTTATTGATACAAGCTACTAAGGTTCCTCAGGCTTCGTGACATTTCAATTTGATTCTTTGTTTTATTAGAGAATTAAAAATGGCAAGGGTTTGTCAATGAATTACATTTTCTCCCAGTTATTGGCTTTTGTGCTAGGGTTTTGATTACTGAAGTTATGACATTGTTCTTGATAAAAATCTTGAAGCATTAGCATCATGAGTTTCATCTCAGCACATGACCAAAGGAGAACTTCTCTGTGGATTTTTCATTGGAAGGGATTGTATTTGATTTCTAGAAATCACTTGGATTTTGGTTTGTTTAATGGTTCCACTTTTGAGTTCAAGCGATGAAGTTGTGATACAAATTCAAGTAGAGAGATATTTTGGGGATTTTTAAAGCACAATTTCTAAGCTTATTAGATTGTAATTTCAAAAGAAGCTATCGAAGGAAAGGTTTGTACATTTGTTTCCTAATGGAAATTTTGTGCATTTTTGAGTTTAGAAATTAGAAGAAATTTGAAGATTATTGCATTCATTATTCAAGATCTATATCACTATCAATTTCAAGTGAAAACTCTACAATGTTTCATGATGTTTTCTACAAAAACATTCAAGTACAACTTCATTCATTTCTACATGATGTCTCACAAGGCTTACAAAGAGAATTTTATTGTTTTTTTATGTTTGTTTAATTACAAGACTCAAGACAAAAAGATGTTGAAAACTACAAGACATTCATCCATCCTTTAAACCTCTAAAGTTCTCACAAATGTTACATGGTATTGGAGAATTTTTTAATTTCAATCTCTACTAGGATCCTAAGTAAATTACTAGTTTTAGTAGACTACAAGTTAGAGTTTTTCCCTTGCGAAAGTCCACCTCTTTCAATCTCTCCATCATCACCATCATTTGCTCACACGAAACAAGAGAGAAAGAAAATGTTAGAACACAATCTAAACTTGGGAATAAAGCAAAAAAAGATTTAAAAGAGATTTTCACAAACTCATCATTAGGGTTTCATGATAAGAATCAGAATAGAGGGTGTTGCATTCAATCATTTGGTTCATAGGCAATTAACAAAGGCCTCATACAATGGTTTCACAATAAATCAGAATTACAATGTCTTATCATGGGCCTATTTTATCCTCTTGCAAATCACAACAATAATTTTTTGTTTCACAAATGGGGGTACGAGGAGAGGCACAATTACTACACGAGTAAATTCAAAGTTTCTAGCATTCAGTAAAACAAATCAAAATCAAAGTCCAGCTCAAGTCAGAAATCGCATTTCCAACCCATCAAACATCACAGTAACAAATAGCCCAACAACAAGAAGTTAACATTTCAGTAAAATGGCCATCGCAAAAACATCACATAAATCAGAAGGTTATAAACATAACAAATCATTAAGCCCAAACAAAAAAATTCACATCTCGGCAAAAAAACAAGATTGCAGTAACAAATTTCGACAGAGGCCACAAACAAAAACAAATTTCAAAAAAAATAATATAAAAAGATTTCAAGAAGCCCAAAACGGAATTCTCACAGGCCTGCTATCTCAATCCATAAATCAACGGAAAACCCTAAATGGAATCACTATAAAAGCATTCATTGGCACCGTTTTTAAGGGAGGATATTGTTCACAATATAGAAGCTGCGCAACAGCAACAACGAGAAAACCCTAAATTTGAGAATCATCATTTTCCATATTCACAAAACCCTTCATAAACTTATCAAAGTCATAAAGAAGAAGAAGATACAAGCCACAACAAGTTCAGAGAAAACAAGAAAGGCCAAAATCAGAAAGATATTACCAGAGAAATCTTAGAAGATTGACAAACTCACACATTCGATGCCTTCAAGACCGGATCTCTTCTCCTTTCCTTCATTTTCTTCCTGTTTCTTTACTTTCTATCATCAATCATGCATAATCGTTGATATCTGTTTGTTTTTGAACAATTATGATTTTGATTTTCTCCTTCAAGATCTATGCCCAACTGTCAAGTTCCTGAAAAATCGAGTCCCAAATTAGTACTCAAAGAAGATAAACGAAGAGGATGATGTAAAAAAGGTCAGTATCAGAAAAGCCTTCAAGATCTACGCCCAATTGTCATCTTCATCATCTCCTTCGTGTTGTTCTTCTGCGTCATCGTCGATCTTCATAACAACCACCACGTTATTCATAAAGGTCGTTGGGGTTGATCTATGTTGCTGGGTTTTTATTCAGGAAAGATGTTTTTCGTTGAATACACATAGAGAGAGGCGAGAGAACTAAGACTGAGAGGGAGAGGGTTATATTTTTTTGTTTAATCTCTTAATTATTTTTGTATTTTGTTGAATAATCATGGATTAAGGGACTAATGCGGTGGTGATATTTGTCACCACCAGTTTAATTAATTTTTCAGATTCTATGCAAGCATCTTTCCAGATCTTACCATGCACCCTGCCTCTTTATCTTCATCATCAACATCAGGTACTTCGTATCTGTGTGCCCATGATACACCCTCCTGGAGCAGCCACACAGGATCACGCGGACCCTCAACCAACCTTTGGGCCTTTGTCATTGGGCCTAGGCATTTCTACTTTCCATACCCCCTGGATTTACTACATTTCAGGCCCGTTCTCTATTTTCCTTTATATTTGCTTGTATTATCTTATTTTGTTTAATTATTTTGATTTCTATCAATTAAAAATACAAAAACATTTTATTTTAAATATTTAACTAGGTTGGAAAGTAATATTTAATATAATTAACTATTTTGTTAATTAATTCTATTAAATAAGATAATTCAATTTAATTAGTTGTTTAATTAAATTCGATTGGGTTGTATTGTTTGTTTATTTAGACTTTTAATCGTATTATTGATTCGATGCACCCCCATTCATAAACTTGTACCCCCATTCCCATATGGTTTGTAATAGCTTAGAATTTAATTTTCTTTGTTATTTCTTTATATGTTTTAATTATTGCTATTATGCATATTTTGTTCAATTAAAAAACATGGCCTCATCTTGGGCTCATCATCAATCAAAAGGTATCCACCTACAAATGCACACTTGCACACATTCATAGTTTGGTCCTGGGCTTTTCTACAGCGACAACTATTCAACCTGTTGTTCTAATTGGTCATTTAGAATACTAGCGCCACGCATGTCCCACTTTTTAGGAGCATATTCATATGGACACCTTGTATGGGATTTTAATTTTTATATCTTATGCATTGAAGCAACTCTCTTCTCTCTTCTTGATCCACATACCAAACTTTTCTTAAAAGGGTCTCATAGTTGAGTTTGAGCATGAGCGTTCTACTGAGATTAATCAAGTTGTTCCATTGATTAATCATAACCCGAATCAATCAATTTGGTCCATATACCAAGTGTTTCCATGCACCAAAAAGGGTCTCATAGTTGAGTTTGGGCATGGACATTCTCACGAGATTAATCAAGTTTTGCCCTTGATTAATTATAACCCGAATCAATCACTTTGGTCCATATACCAATTGCTTCATGCAAAAAGGGTCTCATGGTTGAGTGTAGGAGCACCTACTCTCACGAGATTAATCAAGTACATCCCTTGGTTAATCATAACCCGATTCAACTCCCATACACCAAGCATTCCATTTATCTCGTGGACACTTATGCTATGATCTTGCGATTGATCATGGATGCAACCCGGGTATGCCTAATTGATGGTTGATTGAGGAGATTCAAGGAGGCGTTCTGTAGAGTTTTCTTATCTCATGGGCTTTGAAGAGGCAACATACCTGCTCTGTTAGGTATCATTGTAACTTCATTTCCGTATTTTAATGCTTTCTAGAGATCATGTCAAGTAGGATATCTGTCAGGAATCCCTCTGGTTTATCTAAAGTCCTGTTTATGGAATATCCACATATGTTCCTTGTTTGCTACTTGTGTTTGTTTTAAATCCTACCTTTGGAGTAGGTATTCTACATGTGTGTTTACATTAATGATCGCATATCCCCCACCCCAATAAGTCCTCAAAAGGAGGCGAGCAGGGAGGGTTTGTAATCGAACCCCGCACATTCTAGTCTATGTCATCCTTAGCTCACGTTGTACATCGATTCTGCAGAGTCGTGCATATTTTGTGTATCAATTCATTCATGTGGAGAAGGGTTCACAACCAACCCCTACACTTTGTCAGGAGTTCGCAATGGCCATTGCTGATGCTTCACTACCCGCTTGTTTGCTTTGGGTGATCCGCTCCCATTAGCTAAAGTGATGCTTTTATTTTTTATTTCATCTCAGTGTCCCGCTTGTTTGCTTCGGGTGATCCGCTCCCCTTAGCTAAATCATTTTCTCTTCATACACCCGATCTCTTGAGTCAGTATATCCCGATTGTGTGCTTTTGCCAAAGCACTTATTTGATATGCGATGCTCCCTTAGGATTACTCGTGTAGGGTTAGTCCTCGAGCTAGACATTAGGATATGTACCCATGTGTGTTCACTTAGGTAGATATTTCCCTTTCTTCCTTGACGTAGGTCCATCATTGTATGATTACACTAGGGCTAGAGATTAGGATAGTCTCCCTTAGTTGTTTTCCTTTCTTTGCATATTGCATCTTAAAATGAAAACTTTCTTTTTTTGGCAAATCATAAAACATGTCTAATGAATTTAAATTCTTCTTCAAGGTAAAAAAATTCAAACCAATCTTAATTGTTTGCGCGCCTTTTGGCTTTATTTTAAATCTTGTTAAATTGATGTTTTGCCATCCTTGCCATGATATCTTGCTATCTTCGTGTCGATGTTTTGCCATCGCTTAT